AGAACAAAGGTGAGGTGAGTACTGTGGAAGCGGTAGAATATGACATACAATGAGTTCATGGTAGTTTGAAGTTAGAAGTCAACTACCAATTGATAGACATTTTTGACGTATGGGTATACGTTGCCCAGGGTGCACCACGTGGAGGTAAGTCCATAGTTGGGTTCGGGTTCTACAGATAAGAAAGAATCGTTAATTACTGCTATATGTCCTAAAGTTGTGTCAGGCAAGTCCGCCAAGAAGGCATCGAAGGTGAAGGTGCTAAAGACGAAAAGACGAAGAGGAGAAGGAAGGAGAGTTATGCTATCTACATATATAAGGTGCTGCATCAGGTTCATCTGGACACAGGCATCGCCTCGAAGGCCATGTCCATCATGAACTCTTTCGTGAATGACATCTTCGAGCTTAATGCCGCCGACTCGAGTCGATTGGCACACTACAACAAGAAGTCCACCAACACAAGTCGCGGGATTCAGACAGCAGCGCGTCTGCCCTTGTCCAGTGAGTTGGCCAAGCACGCATTGTCGGAAGACCTCGAAGATTTGTAGCTTATAAGGTGACAGTATATATATATATATAAGTATTTTTAAATTCAATCTAGAATATTTTCTCCCAAGGTAGCCTTCCTTGTTTCATTTTGAGAAATTTTCGGAAAGGAGCAGCCTAGCACAAATTCTACCCGATGTTTCACATTGAAAGGTGAGAAGAGTAATTGAGCATTCGTTAGGTCATAATCAGTTTAGCCAGTTAATGACTTGTTTCGATTAATTATTTACTTCACTCACGTTCCTCATTGTTAGCTGCAAATAAAAATACCCAACAAGGAGAGTGTGGTGTTGATTCGTTGCGTGTAAACTATAAAAAAACGCGAATTCTTTTGAATTGACAATTTTCATTAGTTTGAGAAAAATGTCGTTTGGTCTAATTTTCCCTGTGGAAACATAGTTCTTTAAAATTAAAGGCGCTATAATAAAGACGACCGAATGATCAATTTATTGTAATACGACATATATATATATAAACTTGCAATAAGTTGAAATATTATTCCAGTGGGCACAGAAATAAGAGGTCGGTTGAAAATTTAAAGAATTCATTATAGTAAAGCAGCATGACGAGATTAAAAAATTGTCAGACGATTCCATTCGAAATTTCTTTTCGGCAAAGGAAATTCACATTCTTTGTTTTTCCTTTTTTTTGTCATTTCAATGTTCAATACTAAGGAACAATTTAAACGTGGGGGGGGAGTGGTTTAGTGTATTTCACTCTTATAAGGTAAAAAGAAAATTATTTTTTTGTAAATTTATTTCACCTTAAATAGCAGAAATCCGTGTTTCACCAAGGAGAAAAATCACATAGGATTTGAAGTAATCAATCAGGTAGATTTTATCATGGATAGGAACATCAAAATAGTCCTTTTGAGGCTAAACAAGTACAGACTGCGATTGAATCATCTTCTCGTCGAGTTCTTCTCATCTAGCAATCTGTGGAATGGTCTCATTCATTAGATATGATCAACATTTATCTGTCATCTGTGATAACACTCCTAGAATAATATCGAAATATCGACTGAATTTCAGACCATCACCTAGGATGTCTACTGTGTAATTGAAAAATAGGCTAATCGGAAAATCTCTCGAGTCAGTATGGAAGCACTTGCTGGCATGGAGTCTAACGTGGATCCACAGTGGATCAGTGAAAAGTTGACACGCGAAACATATTCAACCATTGCTCCATATTGCTTGAAATGGAAGTGGTCATTGTGGCAGGACAATTTGACATAAACAGTTTATGAAATATCGAAGGACTTCCAGTGGCTGACTAATTGAATGAAAAATTTGAAAGTTCAAGCTCCACTCCAAACTTGTTGAAAAATTAATTTTAGGGCTGAGGTAAAATAAGTCAGTAAAGAAGTAATGTGCTGAATATCTAACTGTGAATATCAAACTGAAACATCTTGAAGGCATGGGTACATCACAGTTTCACTCTGAATCACTTAAGTACCCAGTGGAAGGTTTTCGGAGAATAATGTTTATATCGAGTGACTGAGGAGTAAATATCGTTGCAATAATTAAAATATGAAAATAATTGCATTTGAGTTCTGAATTGAAAATAATAATTGGCATTCGCATTCACCATTAGAGAATCTGTAGCCATGAATTCCGACTGATTCAAGGCCATAATTTTCGAAAACCACTTTCCGAACTTTGCAGTGTGTCGATATCTTCCCCATGGAGGCTACAGAGTGTAGCTACTTTTCAACCAAACAAAAAACAACACGCATTATTGCACATTGAAATGAATCGCTTCCAGCTTAAG